CAAGACGCGAAGAAAAAGTAGAAATACTTTACTTTACTTAAGAGGTTTCTGACGTCAAATTTAAAAAGAGTTGTCCTATTTCCGCTTTATAAAATTGAATTCTTCTCTTTATAATCACTAATTATCTTGTTAGTTAATTACATGTTTCGACTTCCTTAAGCATTGTTTTTATTTGACGAGATAGAAATTTTTCGAGTAAATAGGATTACATTTCTCATTTTTTTCCTTTTGGAAAATATTTAAATTTTGAAACATTTTGTAATTAACTGAGATCTCTATTAAATGCACAACATTAGATTTCAGAACTACTGTACGCATTTTATGATTGACTAGATACTCAGATTTTATATCTGGGTAAAAAGATATGTGCAAAGATAATGTTCTTTGGTAACCTGATATTAGAACTAGACCTCACAGGAGTGCACCGCAGTTTCTTGGAAGATTATCGTATAGCTATAATATTGTCAAATGAGACTAAAAATTGCATTAAAATGTATTCATTTATCATTTATAAGGTATTTCGCCCACCTTCTTCGCATACCTTCGTAATTTGGTGGTCTGCACCTGGGCACGTATTACAGATTATTACGGTATCACGGTTCGATTCCTGGCGAAGGCGTCGCTAATTTTTCAATCTCTCTTGCCGGCTTCCAAAAATACCTAATGTCTCTACAGTGGCGTCCGAACTAAAAGGGTGGTGAATAATGATTCTCCGCACCCAGGATTTGGCAACTGGTCCCCTAAAATCACCAGTCGCTCTTTAAAAGGGGGAGCATATAGGGTATTTCTCCCGCCTTCTTGGCATGGCTTCGTGGTGTGGTAGTCTGCACGCTGGGCGCGTATTCAAGAAGCTCGATTCCCGTCGAAGGCGTTGCTATTCTTCATCTTTCCTGCTTCCAAAAAAAATCTCAATGTCGTCTCTACACAGTAATACTCGTGTTCTTTAGTAATCTGCTATTAGAACTAGACCTTACAGGAGTGGAGCGCAATTTCTTGAAAGATTATCGTACAGCTATAATATCGTCAACTGAAACTAAAAATTGCATGAAAATGTACTCATTTAATTTGTGGAAGTTTATAATTCTGTAAAATAAGTGACGTTTTACCATTTTTTGTTGTTTCAACTACTTTCAGGTTTTTGAAATTCAGGTTAGTGAAAATGAAGCAATTAAAATATGTAAATATGAGTAAATAAAGCATTAATGTATCAGTTGTACGTGTCAAATTTTTATGTCCTGAGCCGTTCTTTTATACACATGGTAACGCAAAATTGTCTGATAACCCATATTTGCTCTTGAATAACATAACTGCCAGTTCTGAATATGAGCATAATATTAATTATTGTAATATTTTGCCTTTTCTGACACAATATTAACGTTTCATTGACCTTGAACAAAATCAGTTCAAAGGTTTTTCCTAAATACTATATTTTTTAACACTGATATTCATTTACCTTATCAAATTCAATTTTACCAAAACTCAAAATTTCAAGACCGAATATAGATTGACAGAGCATTGTGTTTTTTCCATATTGCTGGGCTCGTACCCCGGTGAACATCCATATTAAGAAAGACAAATAATAAGCAGAACATTTTAACTGATTTATACTTGCTTATTTAATTTAACTTTAGATTCTAGGTTAACTCTTTATGTTATAAAGAGAAGAATATATATTACAAATAAATCATATCTTAACAAAAGTAAGGAATACCTGAAAAGCCTATTTACTTTCCTGGAGCAGAAAGTCCGTTACATTTATCAAGCATTATCAGTTCATAATAAATTTTAAGAAAAACTTCTTAAGTATATTCTTCTAATTTGATGTTACGATCAATACATAATAATAGTTAATTTAATTTCATAGAAAGTCAGCGAAGGAAATTTTAACTGCTCACTCAAACGAAATTGTTATCAGTTAATCAGATAAGGTGTAAACTAAGAATACTAAAGATAGACAACTAAAAAAAATAAACTTATTCAGAAGAACCCGGCTTGCCAACGATGCCTGTGCTAAGGAGAAAGCTGGACCTTCGGCTGGAATCTGTAACCAAACCTAGGCAGATGATTCTGGGCGGAAAATCACTCTAAGCGATTCTGGCTCCATAAGAAATTTAACGGGTAGCGTTTGGAATGACTACGCACTGGGTCGAGACGTTCTTAATCCAGAAAAATATTAAGTGGAATCGCTGGAATCGTCAGGTTGAAGAACTTGCGGTGTGCTCGCTGGTTAAACGATCGCGATGAAGACTTGAGATTTTTCACGCTGATAGAACTAAAGCAACAGCTAGTCACTAATATTGACAGGAAATCTTCCAACAACATTCCTACGAGTTTTTTTACATTTCACGGGAAGATGCACTTGGATTATGGCAAGGTACAAATATATCCGGTACTAAGCCCCTTTCTTGACTCATATTGTCCGACTACACGTTTCATACGAAGATTATAATGTTACGCGAGTTCTGCATAAAATATAGTGATGAGCGGTCGAAGAGCTCGTAAAATTTAATTCATTCATCTTTCCACAGGATTAGAGTAGATAGAAATTCATCTCGACACCTCTTACACACCGAAGGTCAACTCTACCAAAATCTCTAAACTCTACCAAAATGGCATACGTCTGATTGGCCTCAAAGCTCCATAACAAGTCAACGATTCTCCAAACTTCTAATGCTAAAAACGGACAGGGAGCTTAATTGAAGCTACTACACCATTAGCATCCGAGGAACAAGTCACGAAAATCCTACGCGCGATTTCACAAACAACCAGGGAACCAGAAATCCAGAATTTCGCACCCTCAAAACACGACTAAAACTACTTTTCCACCAAATCAATCAGACAACCTTTTTTTGAATCAAAGACAACCTTGTAAGTGCGGCCAGTCAAACTTGTAGCCCACAGTGGACAGTACCACGCCAAAACCCGTCGACCTTTGAACGTAATCTAACATTAACCCTTGACTTTACTGAAGGATGAAGGATATCGCGTATTCCAATCACTGAGCAGTATAAAGAACAATACAAAAGCTTCGAGAATATTCTATCGTATTCCCGTACTTTTAAAACAGAATGGCGCAGCAAGATTTGCTTCGCCAGCCCTCCTGAGTTTTACTTACAAGAATTATTTCCTTCTTTTCACAATTTTCGAATTAAATTTAATAAACAAAAATTAGCATTAAAGCACTGGTTTTCAGATAATTAATTTAATGAAAAAAAATCCTTTATTAATCGAAGCATAAGGAAACAAAATTACGCTAGAATAATTCTAGTTTTTCATAAATGATTACAATTACGCTTATTCATTCTCATGTCGATAAATTGACATTTATAATACATTTAAAAATTACAAAACAATTGTAAGTCAACCCATGGCAACTGCAGCGGCATATCGTGTTGCTAATGAGATCATCTGGCGTGAGAGTAAGCATACAGCACTATATCGTGTTGCTGATGTGATCACCTGGTGTGAGAATAAACATATAATGCTATATCCCGTTGCTATCAAATATGAGAGGAATCTTATACTCTTACCCTATCAGTCTCCTAATACGAAGGTGGAGCCAAACGTTTGGTTGTAGGCTTTTTTGAAGACGTCCTCCCAAGTAAGAGATTACATTTCTCTTTGAATAGATAAAGAGAACGTAGGTGACCCTTCTTGTATAAAGTTTCTTGTCCTTGATCCAATGCCCTCCATAAATGTTTAGCCGCTGTACTAAATATTCTATCCGGTGTGCTAAACGTGTTTACCCCGCTGTGCTAAATGCCGTTCCCAATCTCGTCGTTATTTGTTTAGCCGCTGGAATAAACGCTGTTTCTAATCTCGCCGGTGCCTCCAAATGTTTCTTAGGCGCTTACCTATATGGTGCCGAATATTAATTGTGAAATTTCGTCTAATTAACACTTTAATGAATATTAACAATTTTTACTTAATGTAAACAAATGTATATATGAGATAATGAAAAAAAGTACAAAACAGCTACGTTCTGAAATTCGTCGCAACTACATTTCTATATCGTGTCGCTAACGAGATACCTGGCCTGAGTGTAAATATATAACGCTATATCATGTTACTAACGATCAAGCAAGAGAGTAAACAATTGTTTTAATTGTTCAAAATATCCAGACACCTGCCATTTAATATATTAGGCGGAATAGCCAACCCATGGTCATTTACCTGTCTTAAGTTGCCCAAAGTGCATCGCAAGATGCTGCCGAATAACACCGCATGAAATGGAAGGCCACGGTGCTAATTTTGAAGAAGAATGCTGCGTGGGAACGATTCGTAAGTCTCATAGCCCTCTTCACCTGCGTCCAACTTCTCGAGAGTGCATTCGGCTTGAGAGTATTTTAAATTCCACCATGCTGAAAAAATACTATGTGTTTTCAAACATCCATACCTTCTTCGTGATTCAAACTCGCTCCAATTTTTTATGGCAATGGAATAGCCTTATCGCTATGCCATCAAGTCTTATGCTTAGCTTAACGATTTTTTTATTTTTATATAACAACCAAAAATTACAATAGTGGACTTAGAATTTTTATATGAATGCATACAATTTTTAAGAAATAATTACACAATTGGAATTTACACAATTTAGAAGCCTTTATTTTAGGAGGTTTTCTTTTAATGAGATCTTTTATATGTAAAAAAGGAAATCTCGTTATCTTATTCATATGTAAATTGTAATGTTATATTTTATGGTTGATTTATTTTATTATGACAAAGCAGTCAAGGGCTATCAGCCTAAAGTGAGGGATGCCTTTGTGGAGAACTCTCTAAGGGCCAATGGCTCTTAGATGGCTGAAACCATGAAAGGTTCCAGACCGTTCTATCTGAGCCGGACGCAAGAACGAACTACCAGGACTCAGCGACTTTACTGCTCGGCCGCTGTCGGGCCTTCTGATGTTTTATAAATTATCGAAAGAAACTTTCTTCATATAAAATCATTAAATTCGAAAAATAAATAATATTTTAATATTTCCTTTCTTATTTCCTTTCAGAACTCCCACCTATCAAAGCACCGGTAGGCTTGGCGCCAAATCCAAATCTCAAAAATATCCGATCGAAGATAGGATCATTTGATAATATCAGATATAAACCAGGAGGTGGAGATAAGAAGGTAAGCAAATTTTAAACTAAGAATTAAAAACCTGTTAAATGGAATTATTATACACAAAATCATTCAATTAAAATTTGTATTTTATACTTTAAATTTTACTTGAAATATATAATTCTTATACGTAACTTAATATTTTGTTGCCTGCATAAAATATTATATTGTAAATGAGCTGTAAGACGTACTAGAACTAAATCATATTTATTACAAATACAACTGTAGATTTTGTCTGAGTATCTATTTATGTGCTTTCAAAGCATTTTTATATAATGGCGAATATCGAACTCTGTGATAAATTCATTAAGTTTGAGACCGTATTTATTCGCAAATTTTCTCTGCTTTTCGTACTAATTTTACTGTTTAAATACCGGAAAAGAAAACATTCTCGGTGTATACTATTTCTGAAGAGACAGCTTAAACTATAAATAAATAAAACACATTAAAACATCCACCCATTAAGGCGCACTAATATTCTTAGATTATACATTTCAAACGACTTACCAATTTCAATGAATTTTTTTTACTTACATAAATCGAGTGCTTTGCCATAATCAAATAAACCAAACATAACTAATTTGCTTGCATAAAATACTTTCCTGTTTGTACGAATATTTTAAATTATTTGAATAAACCAGAAGTTTCTAAATCATTTGCCTAAAAAACTGGGCGAAAAACGTACGGGAGAGAAGAAGTATTTGAGCAAATAACTGTAACAGTCCGGAATTAAATTTAATTAATTATTGTATCAGACACTTCTAAATACGTCTAATCTCTTTCAGCAATAAGAATCATCTTTCAATCCTAGGAAATTATTCTGCACAGCAATATAATCTTTTGTTTTGAATACTGAAAACCTTGTGCTGCGTATTTACTCTGAACACAAAAAATAATTTTTGTCTTTAGTTACCGTAATGTTCTTGTTCATATATAAATGAATAACATCGGGAAACCCCTATAAAAACTACATTGAGATAGCAATAATCTTTTAAAGAACAATGAAGAGATATACAGAAATGATGCATTATATAAGAATGATCACAGTGAGTGCTAGTAAATTTATTTTGGCAATTTTTATATAAAATCCGTAATTATTAATGACGCCAAAGTTTTATTTTTTTGCGTATATGTGACCAAAACTATTTCGATGGATATTTTAAGCCTTAAACTTTATCCGCGTATTGTAAAATGTTCTTTCATATATTTTATTACCAAGGTCGCGAAGTAAATAAAATTGTTTAATATATTTAATTATTTACTAAGCAAATAAGAGTGCATGTTTTCTTTCAGAATACCTTTGATTCGAATTATTGCAAATAAAAATGATCAATAGTGAATTTTAGGTTGTAAATACAAGTATATAAGCAAATTTTAGCATCATTTCATGTTAAACATTAATTTTTGTTAGCTGTTTATAAAACAAAATTCAGTCCATTAAAACCAAATGTTATTTTTCTGTTTTACAGGTGATTAGCAAAAAGTTGGAGTGGAAAGCAACACCTAAAATAGGATCCTTAGACCATTCCTTCAAAAGTGGAGAAAGAAAACACGGGAAAAGCCATTCTAAAGGAGATTTAAAGGACGGAAAGTTAGCTGATGGCCAGGTACGTTCTGTGATCCGTGCAGTTACGTTCTAAAATTATTTTAATATAATAGAAAGCATTTCTTAAAAATAGATATAGCGTTAAGTACAAAAATTTGAGGAATGCATAATATGTAAAGGACGCATAGGCCTCCAATGGCGCAATGGGAATGTGTTTGTTTATAGGCCGAGAGATTCCTAATTCAGTTACTGTTTTAATAAAATTTTTATAAACTGAATAATGTCCTCATTATCGTTATTCTTTGTAAATCATTCTAGCAAATGAAGCTTCATATTTTTTCTATAATTTGCAGCTTTCCAACTTTGTTTTAGCATTTTTTGCCATTCTGTTCAGAAAATTACGTTATGCGTCATTTTTCAAATGTTTCTAGGCTAGAACATTTCTGGAAGTCTTAATTATTTTCCAATATCTTTAATTATGATTCTTAATTTTTTACTAATTTAATTATGATCTAATGTGCCAAATATTCCTTAAAAGTTTTCTTACGATTTTTATTCTATGAAACGCAATTTTTTCCTGTTTCTCTCATCTTTTAGGCACATTTCAAATGCATATATATGCACATGATTACTAAAAATACGGCACTCACACAAACTGCTGGTAAAATCCGTATTTTTTATTTTATGCATAGGTTTTTTTTTTAATTTTCAAGGGATTTTGTGTTTCTTCTGGTACTGTTTTTTATTAATTCTTTAACAGCGAATTTTAGGAAAGTTAATGAAGAGGGTCAAGTAGGAAATAAAAGATTTAGGATCCCTATAAATATAAAAAGGGCAATTGTTGAAAAGTACAAATATCCATATGGTACGCTATTGCATATTGTATGGATACATGCATACCGTATTTATACCGATGGATGGTATGCTTTTCTATACCGTCTGCCTAGTACGATGGTGTCTACGATTGTGAAAAACAAAGATACTATTAAATCGGCTAACGTTGTGAAGGGGGAAGTCGATTATCAGACAAAGATCAGACATGTTAGAGAATGTTGAAAAATTTCTTTTGATCTGGGTAACGGGAAAACATTTATGTACTATATCATGTGAAGTACAGTATGTATTTTAGCTACTGCATTTGTATTTTAATATTAAACAGGAATATACTAATAGCAATAATCTTTTTATATAAGGAAGAATTAATTATTTTCCCTTATTTTTCATTGGAAACGTTCGTATGTTATATGTCTAAGGATCTAGAATGGATTAATGACGTATACCGAGGTACCACTGTATCTTCAAACATATTCTTAAATTTAATATATTATGGCTCTTCTATTTATTCTAACTACTTTTCTCATAATACAAACAAATCCAAATTATCCCTAAGTATTTTAGATATAAAAGTCTATTCTATACTATTCTAGCACCATGCTCTTGTGTGAAATACGGACTGTTTTGAACATTTACAGTAACACAATAATTTCTGTTACTGTAGGTCGGATTTGTGATTTTTCTCCGTATTCTGCACACTATGGATTTTTCAGAAGAAATCTCTATTTATACAGTCAATGCAAAAAAAAAATTACTTCATATAATATATTACAATTTGCTTCATTATTTCATACGTTAATTATATATATTGCTTAATTACCTTGCACTGAAAACATTTCTTCCACGACATACTTACTTCATTTCTGAAACCATCTTCTTTTACATGCAAAGTTTAGTTTCATTTTAATGTTGTTTTACAATATCCTTCCAGCCGCTTAGATGTTACTAACACTTAATTGTTGTCTCAGTCCAAATATTTAACTGCATCAAGTTTTCATGCTATTTTAACTTTTCTTTCTTCATAATCGTAGTGATAATAGTCTCTTTCCACAGGTTCAGGACTTTCTTCGATTTCCATGTATTGTCGGAAAGGAGTGAAGATATAACTTTTACATTTGCCTTTATTAGTTGTGCAGAGATATTGTCAACACATCTTTTTCAAGTTCCATGATTGATTATGCAAAGCATGTGCATAACTAGAAACGCCTGAAATAAGCAAACAGTTCTTTTAATTGCATCTGATCTGCTTAATTCACAATTTATAAAATATAACCATCTGGAAAGGATTCTAAAAGATTTATAGTTTGTTTTATTAAATCGAATCATTCCTCGTTCAATTTTTATATCATTCTGAGCCAAAACAGGACTCATAATCTGAACTATGCTAGGTGAGTTTTTAAAAATAAATTCTGTTTAGTGAAAAAGAACTGGTGGATTTCTATAAAATTTTCTTTGTGTATGGGATTTACGTCTTTCTTCTTGATGTAGTGTTACAGAATTTTTATTTGATTTGTGCCGAATTCAATAACATGCTTCAAATTGCTTTATGCTTTATAACAGCTATTAATAATTCTAGTTTCTTTTACATCTTCTTATGCTGTTTATCGTACAACTGCCTGGCGAATAAGGAGAAAAGACATACGGCACAGCTAAACTAGAATTTAATATAAGGTTTCTGTTTATTGCAATGTTATGGTATGTCACTTTTATTTTACACCAGTGGAATTCAACGAATTTTTCTTGCATTTGACTGCTAATTGTTTTATTCTACTAACTATAAAGATATATCACTAGATGATTCCATTTTTTTACATAACTTTAGTGCTCATTTTAGTATAGTAAGTACATCGATTTGCATTTTTATTCAAACTCCGATTGGGTTCATCTTAGATTTAAATTTTGATTCCAAAGGAAGGAATTTTTAAATAAATCATTATAATTTTATGCTTATATTTCGGAAACCAAAAGACATTTTTTTCTACAAAAAGGTAAATTCTTTATACGGAAATATTTTCGGAATGGAACTAAAATTTTTAAAGAAAAAAATATGGTGTACTAATGACTGTAATCAAACGCCTATGCTATTATATTTTAATAATTTTATGTCGCGTGGAAATTCTATTTTTAAAATGCCTTTCCCAGAAAGAACAAGTTCTTTAGGAAATGATAAATTTCTTTCGTGAGAAAATGTGTCTTTTATTTTATAATGAGCTCCTTTCGTGTGACTTAATAGAAGTATTTATTTAGAATGAAAAATGATTTTAATCGTTATTAACATATTTTAAATAATATATTATCACAACCTGGAAAGATTTTACTTTCTGAATATTGTACAGAAATGAATTCAAAATTTTAATTCTTAAACTTGGAGGTCAATAAAAATTGCGTTTATGACAAGTTTTTTCATTCAATCATAAAACCTGCTGTTTTATGGTTTACTTTCAGCACTAAACTTGAACGAACTTGCATTTAATTTCGATGTTATGAGTAAACGCAAAAATATTTCGATACTGCTATAAATTCCGAGGAATGCTCTCAGCTTTTTGTATTATCTCTAAGTATTTAAGAGATATAAAAGATTATTTGGGATTATTTGTAATAATATTTTATAATTTAAGGAACTTTTTAACTACAAGTAATGTGCGCTATATCTTTGGTGATGATAAAAGAGTGCATTGACTTTTAGTGCCTAAGAATCGGTAAATGCAATGAAGCATTAATTATAAAATTAGCAAGAAGATGGCCAAGTTAAGAAAAACTGGATAATTAAATGTATCTCAATTGCAGCTTTTCGCAGTAGAACCGATGATTGAAACAGTTATGAAGAAACTCCATATACATATCCTGAGGGAAACGTAATGAAATATGAATAATCCTGTAAGTTAAAGTAACTTCACATCATACGAATTTTCATTAACCATTGCATATTTTTCTTATTTATAAAGCTGTAAATTTAAATTAGAGGATGGATAACATACATAATCTTAAAAGTTTATTAATTTTAGCATCTAAAATCTTTAATCAGACTTCAGTTTCTTTAATAGACTATATTTGATAATACCAGTTTTATTTGATTGAAAATCTGGATGGTGTGTGTGTGTGTGTGTGTATGTGGTTTTGGCAAAGCCTCGAGGGCTATCTGCCTAAGAGGAGGGATGCCTTCGTGGAGGACTTTCTAAGGGAAACTGGCTCGTATACACGTTACACATGGGGAAAACCACGAAAACGCTCATGCAGCCAGCCCGTTCGCGGGATTCGAACTTCGGACCGAACTACCAGTGTTCAGCGACTTTACCGCTCGGCCGCTGGTGGGCCTGAAAATGTGGATGGAAATATTAAATTTCCTCTGGATGCGACAGAGAGTTCCCTACAGTATACGAAAGTTTACGAGTGCTTTAAGAATAAGCATTTCTTAAATTGTATTATTAAAATTAAGTCAATTCCGATCAAGAATCTTCTTTTAAAAAAAAGACTTGTAACCCACGGCTCAACAAGCGCCACCTAGCGGCCGCCGGGGAAAACACCTTCCAACAAAGACTATAGCACTATAGCATTCAGTCGATGTACTGGACTCAAGACACTAAGCATGGAGTTCCCCGAGATTTACTTTGTAACTTAAATGTGTAATTATAACTCCCTTAATTGCAATGTTTTATCTTAATTGTGTTTTGTTAATTAAAACTATTTTAAAAGGCCAGTTGAGTCTTTTGTTTATGGTAGTTTGGATTATAAACGTGTTATTAAAAGTAAGCAACCAGCGGACTCAGATATAATTTTTAGTAAACAAAAATTCTTTGCTGGTTGTTGAATTTGTGATGCAGGAGAGGCAAGATATATACAGTATACAAATACTGTATATAACCTTAGTTTTTAGATGGCATAGTTTCTATTAGAGGTTGAAATGATTCTAGAGAAAAACACTATTAGGCTTGTGTATTACTAAATAATGGATGTCTTACCACCTTAGGCAACAATAATAGCTGCTAATTATTTAAAAATTATAAGAATGAAACGTAGGGTGTCCGTTCTGCATCTGAAATGCATGGAATTTAAATATGTTATGAAAATTCATCTATGGTAGAATGTAGTGGTGTCTAATGAGTTACTCGCCGTGCGTTCGTGTTCCAGGTGTGTTTAACTGACGATAGATTTGGTAAATTTGGCTCAGATACCAGTAAAACATGACAATTATACAAATACTGTATACCTTGATGCATTCATGTCACA